AGAAAAATATGTGAACTGTTTGCAATTTCAAATTAATATTGAAATGCACAGGTTTAGAATTTTCTACAGTGAAAAGTTTTCGGAACTTCAGTGTTCAAAAAAGTATACAAAAGCTAGACGTTAAGAACGTATCAAATGAGCGAGCAATCCGAAATGAACTGCGAAAGTAGTTCCGGGGGTTGGCGAGCGCTAGCGAGCAGGGGGCGAAGCCTCCTAGTTTTATGTTAAAACAATAACTTGTTTCGTACATTGTTTTGTTTAGGCACACTTAATTGCTTTCTTTAAAAAAAAAATCTTATTTATAGCTTCAATTTCTGAAGAATATTATTAAGTAACCGTTCCATTTATAATTTATATTCTTATTTTTATTTCTAAATATCTAGAAGTTAATTTTTAAAAGAAAGTTTTTCAACGTTGCATTGGCTAAGTTATCATAACGAATTTTCAAAAATTCGTACTTTTTGTTGGAAAAAATATTTTTAGATATTTATAAAAACTTTTGCAATTATATATATTAATTTCTATTATTATATGGAACTATAAATTTACTGTTATTTGAATGAAAAAAAATGGTTTTTTAAAAATTGTTTGAAAATGATCAGAATATAAAATAACTCACCAATGATAACGTCATATTCAGATTTGAGAGTAAATACAGATTGTGTTATAGACGGGGCGTTTCTTTGTGTCAGTAAAGACATCAGCATCAAGGGAAGAATGGAGGAGTTGGCAAGAGGAGTAGGATAAGAATTTTCACGAGCAAGGTCGTACAACATGATTCTGAAAATATTTATTCAAAATTATGATAGTACACAAGAACTATATGATTAACATGACATATATTAGAATAAAATGATAAGAGAAATGATAAGAAGGAACAATGACATCCCCTTTTAATTCGCACGTTTTAATACATTTTTTTACACAAATAATAATTTTTGTACGAATTAAAAAATGTAATGAATTTTATATTAAGTAATCCTATAATTTTGAAAAACAAAGAATACTGAGTAAATGAAGAAAAACAAATAATCTTAAAATGAGTTTAAATCAACCTGTAAGGTATATTTTGTTGAGTTATATATTAAGATAATATGCAAATTTCTAGAAGGCACAATTAATTCCACTTATAACATAACGTAACTGTAGCTAAAATAGTATAGGTTTGGATTTGTGTGCACACGTAGCTACATTTAGTATCAAATGTAGCTACTATGAAACGATGTGATTGTCGATCGCAAATAAAAGATACAGATCGAAAACGTGTTTTTTTTAATCATTTTTTTCGTAAAACAATATTTGCCGGGTAAAGATATAAATGATCTGGCGTAATATTTAGTCAATAATATTTTCACTAAGAAAACCTTAAAAAAACATCAAAAATAAAGGAACAATTGACAAAGTTCTCCAATATATAAAAATAATTTTAAATATTTTCATTATTTTTATTGTCACTTCTCTTTGCATAAAACATAAAAACAATTTTTTAGAAGAAAAAGGAACTGAAAAAGATTTATTTAAGATTACTATTCTCTTACTTGAAAGTTTATTTCGAACCTGAATGCGAATATTCTGTGGATAGAAAACAAATTCAGTATAACGTCTATACCTTATTTAAATCCAGAAAAAAAGTGAAAATCCGAAAACGATTTATCCTGAAAGAATCTTTTAGAATCAAATTTTATCTTTGAACAATTGCTTTGAAAAGAAACTAAAAGAAACCGAATAGAGTGACCTATTCCTGAAATAGTGTATTAAAATTCATTTATACTCAAAAAAAAGTTTACAAAAAATAAAGTCACAGTTGATTTTGAAAGACTAGTAGTCTCGTCATCTATGAACGCAAACCTTAATTTCAAGATATCAGATCATTTAAACCAAGAATTAAAATGAAAAAAACATTCACAAATTCTTATAAAAAGACATTTAAATGTATCTTAAGAACATAACTAGCTTTAAAAAAATTACTCATCAATAGGGTGGCCATTTACAGACAAAACTATTAATTTAAAAACAGTTTGTTATGTTAGAAAACACAAATAAGACTCGTCGCTGATAATGAAGACTGCTGACGATTTCTTTCCTTTCAAATATTTTAAAAATTAATTCTATTCTTGCTAGATTATAGCTCTCATTAAGAAAAGGTGTTTTTTGCACGTTCATTAATATTTAATTATTTTCATTCGTTATGTTATATAAACTCAATGATCAGCATGAACATAATAGCACTGGTGGATTAGATCCCCAAATTAGTAATTCTAAATTTAAATGAAACCACGTGTTTATTTTGCTTGTAGTTATGCTTTTAAAATGTGAATTTATAAAACTAAATAATTTAAAATCAACAGTATTTGAAATAAAATAATAAAAAGTTGTGTATTGAAGAAGAAAATTAATGGCGAAATAGTACTAATTCGTAAAGAAGATGCTTGATCAAAGATGCTTGAAAGATAAATGATGCTTGACTAAATTTGTCCTTAGGTAATAATTTAATCAAAAAATAACCATGTTCTGGAAACCAAAATTGATGGAAAAAAATTATTTTAGGAGAATCGTTAAAAAGCACCATACTATTATGGACTACAATAAGGCTTAATTATTTTTGGTAATAATTACAAATTGAAATAAAAAAATAAGCCGTATACTAAAAAAACATTAATGAAGAAATGGTAATGAGCTTACGGTAATGGGCGTAATTCTAGTAATAAGTACAAATAAAAATGAAAAAATATGTTACGTACTATAAAGCAAAATTAATAGAGAAATAGTACTAAATAGTTGAGGAAAAACGTAAAAAAATTGCCATGTTGTTACTTTCTCATTTCGCCGGAGCAAAATATTGAGTTATTTTTTATTTCTTTAGTTTTTTTATTATTATTATTTTTAAATAGACCTCACTAAAAAAAAAAATTTTTTTTAAATTTGAATTTACATTTACCCGGTGACTTTTCATTGGCAACTTAATAGCCTGCGCCTGCGAAATGGAAAAGTATTGTTATTATTGTCGCTATTAAATGCTTAACGGTAATAATTATAAAATGAAATAAAAAATAAAGTTATGTTAAAAGCAATATTAATGGAGAAATTGTACTAATCCACGTAAAATGCGTAAAAATCGCAAACTATAATTGATGCCAATGATGCGTAGTTATTTCTGGTATTAGGCACTTCTCGTATTATGATAATCAGTTGAGGTTTAATAGTAATAATTCTTTAGTAATATTTTAATTTTGCTTTCTTAATAATAATAACTTAATTATGTATTGTACCTATAAATGTACAATTACAGACCAATGATTACAATGATTATTGGTCTGTAATTGTCATACATTATATTAGCATATTTGAACTCTATAAAAACCACATCAATATTGGGAATCTTCGATGTAGACAAATCAGAAAGCGGTTTTTTACGGTCCCTCTAAAAATATAAGTACGTGATTGTGGTAAATTTGGACAATCATGGGTTGACTTCGAGCACAAACATCATGCGTAATGATTCTTAAGGTAGTTAATTTTTTTTTTTTTTTTTTTTTTTTTTTTTTTTTTTTNTTTTTTTTTTTTTTTGATTTTACGAACTACAAAAACCTCGTTTTTATAAATCTATTAATGCATAGCACCAATAATGTCAAAATATAATAAAAAATATGGAAATATTTTAACTTTCTTAGCTGCGTTGGAATGCTCCTTTTTTTCAGTATTTCGTAGAGCTGTACAATACTGATGTATTAAATGATTACTTTTTTCACCCAGTATACANCGCATAAGCTGCAAGTAAACAGAACTCATTAGATAAGTTCAAAAAGAAGATAAAACAAAGGAAAATTATTTTGCGGATATAATCGTGTGGGCTGATAAAAAGATTATAATTCTTATTTTCCGGTTTTTTTTGAAAAATTTCATCCTTTTTTTTTTCTTAATCAGTTGTTTGTTATTTTTTTCATCGATTATTATTTCCCCCCCCCCNCGATTATTATTCCCCCCCCCCCTTTGCATATGTCTATAATTTTCCTATGTTTTATCTTCTTTTCGGTGGCACCATCTATGGCCAAGAATACCACTTCAGCCAAGCATACCGTCACAGCCGGTTTATAGGGCGGATACAATACATCCAGTTATTTATCCACAGATCTTAATTTTAACCTGAACTAGAGAACGATCATTCTCCAGTTCAGTGCCACCAAAGGTATTGATTTGTTATAGGAACATGGAGGACTTTATGATCCGACGGACTAGTCACAAGCACTAGTCACCATTTACCACACGGGAAGTTTTCGGGTGGCAGGGATCGAACTCACGACCTCTTGGATAAGGCCCAACGCTCTACCAACCACGCACGCTATATATATATATAAAATTTGAATCGTCCTAAATTAGTGTACAAATTGTAAAGCTTCTTCAATCTCATAGAAAGATTTCAAAATTGCGGTTATTAAAGCTGGAAAAAAAATAGTTAATTTCCTCTCCTCACTTTGAGCGATCCGAATTTTGTATGCGTAAAAATTATATTGTTTCAAAAAGCTTCAAGCGAGATATTTCTTACTGTGACAACAGTTTTAACAGGAAAACTTTTCCAAAGCATTTGAGAATATGAATTTTATAGTAAAGAATTAAATTGCTCCAACTTTTAACAGTTTTACCTGCTTTAGGTTCTGAAACCGGAATTCTCTAAAATATAGAAGCTGTAGCAGGGATTGTGGGGAAAAAACGTTTTAATGACTCTGTTACGAGTTCACTAATGAACTATGTTCTCAAATACACATAATTTAAATATAAGTAAAAATATGAAACTTAAAAAATACGGCTATCTACCAGTTTTCCATCAGCAAAATTCTTAAAAATAAGAACATTTCTTAATTTTACATGTATAAATGATTAAAGAAAGCATTTACTCTTTCACCTAAAAGTTAACTCGAATGAGAGTATAATGTAAAGTACAGCAATTTGGTGATGTAATTTCAAAATAGTCATTATTCAATAATTAATTATTAAATTAATTTTTGATATTTTTAATAGATAAAATAGTATGAAAATCTAGGTTTTGGTTTTAGAAAAATCGGAATATTCGAAATATGTAAAAAAAATTTATACCATACAATTCAAAAAATTTTCATATTTAACAAAGTAATTAAGAAAAATTATTTAATTCATCTAAATTCTCCATTATATTAAAAATTTGCCTTTGGGCGTTTAAGCTTATAATTTTAAGTGAAAGAATTATTTATAGTTTACTCAATCATTAAAAAGACATGAAGAGAAACATTACACATTAAAATAATATTAGAGAAACAAATTGTTGATCCATTATAGCGGTTAAACTATATAATCCAGCTTTTCAAAATTTTGGGGCAGATAAATCCGAATTCGATGGGAAAAAATAGATGTTTCTTTTAAAAAAAATACGTTTTTTTGGTCACACTAATCATATTCCATTACGGTAACAGTTAACTGTCATACATATTGTAAAAGATTTCTTTGAGATATCACCAAAGTACTTTACAGAATGAAAGTCCAAATAACAGTTCAAAAGCTATAAAGGTAATCAGTTTTTTTGTTGATTACGTCTCTTAATAAAACTTAAAAGATAATACTTTTTTTGAAAAATCATAACGCTTCTACTTTTCCAAAATATTTTCTATGTGTTTTGAAGAAGATCATGTTTGAAGTTGTGTTGTAAATACGCAACACATTTTATCATCGCTTTTAATTGTTTTACGTATCTTTTTTTACTTCAAGAACCATAAAAAATCATCTTCTGAAAGCGTTTTCATTGATTTATCAATAATTAACTTTATTTAAAAAGTTTATAACATTTCTACGTATCTGTTACATTGTTTTTGTATTTTGCACTTTTATTTGTTTGGCAGCGAAATATTAAATTGTGTTTCGAAATATTTTTGTGTATAAATATATTCGAAACAATTTTGTTGCTTGTGTAACAAATTATCTTAAAAATTAAACTGTTATTTAAGACGGAGAGACTGCAATTAATTAAAGAAAATAAAGTGACAGAGTAAAGTGCAGCAATAAAAGCATATCTAACGCACTATAATTTTAAGACAAAATACATAAGAGAAGACAAGTTCGAAAGGGATATTTTGTTTCATTTATGAACTCAACGAGGAATTTATGTCTAAAGTATCATTACTTTTAAGAGTAAAATCCTGAAATTAATTAGAGATGTAGTGTATCCACCACTACAAAAATGTAATTCCAATTTACTAGTATAGAAGACATGTTAACTCGATTCTATGGAGGGGTACTTTTTCATAGAAGAATGTTGACATTGTCTATAACTTCTCATCACCACATTGCCACCGTAGTGTATCTACCACTACAAAAATGTAATTCCAATTCACTAGTATATAAGACATGTTAACTCGATTCTTTGGTGGAGTACCTTTTCATAGATGAAGGTTGACATGGTCGATATCTACTTTCCCCAGATTGGTGACCTGGACGTGGTGGGGGAGTACTATAGTGTATCTACCAATACAAAAATATAATTCCAATTCACTAGTATGTATTACTGCAGTGTATCTACCACTACGAAATATAAATCCAATTCACTAGAGTATAAGACATGTTAACTCGATTCTATGTTGGGGTACCTTTTCATAGATGAAGGTTGACATGGTCGATATCTACTATCCCCAGATTGGTGACCTGGACGTGGTGGGGGAGTACTATAGTGTATCTACCAATACAAAAATATAATTCCAATTCACTAGTATGTATTACTGCAGTGTATCTACCACTACGAAATATAAATCCAATTCACTAGAGTATAAGACATGTTAACTCGATTCTATGTTGGGGTACCTTTTCATAGATGAAGGTTGACATGGTCGATATCTACTATCCCCAGATTGGTGACCTGGACGTGGTGGGGGAGTACTATAGTGTATCTACCAATACAAAAATATAATTCCAATTCACTAGTATGTATTACTGCAGTGTATCTACCACTACGAAATATAAATCCAATTCACTAGAGTATAAGACATGTTAACTCGATTCTATGTTGGGGTACCTTTTCATAGATGAAGGTTGACATGGTCGATATCTACTATCCCCAGATTGGTGACCCGGACGTGATGGGGGAGTACTGTAGTGTATCTACCACTACAAAAATATAATTCCAACTCACTAGTATATAGTACTGTAGTGTATCTACCATTACAAAAATATAATTCTAATTCGCTAGTATATAAGACATGTCAACTTGATTCTATGTTGGGGTACCTTTTCATAGATGAAGGCTGACATGGTCGATATCTACTTTCCACAGATTGGTGACCCGGACGTGGTGGGGGAGTACTGTAGTGTATCTACCACTACAAAAATATAATTCCAATTCACTAGTATATAGTACCGTAGCGTATCTACCACTACAAAAATACAATTCCAATTCACTAGTATATAAGACATGTCAACTCGATTCTATGTTGGGGTACCATTTCATAGATGAAGGTTGACATTGTAGATATCTACTATCCCAACAGAGAAAATAAAAAGGTAAGGACTATTTTGTTTCATGTATGAAATCTACAAGGAACTTATGTCTAAAGTATTATTACTTTAAAGAGTATAAGCCTGGAAAAAAAAGAGAGAAGATATAGTGGATATAGTTATTTAGTTTCAGATATGAACTCTGCAAGGAATTTATGTCTGAAGTATTATACTTTCGAGACTGTAAGCCTGAAATAAATCAGAGATGATAAAGTGATTGTGTAAGGAGTATATCTGAATGCAAATAAAATCTGAAAAGGTTTTAATTTTGGAGAAATGGATAATAATTTCAATCTGCTTTAGCTTCAGTTTTTTTTACTCGATTATAAATTAAGAGATATTTTCTCTTGTTTTAGAATATTTATAAAAATATTAAAGAAATTAACAAATAAATAAAACAGTATCTTTTATAAACAAATATTTTTATTTATAAATATACACAAAAAATTTCATAAATTACGTAATATTCAATAACAAGCCTGTTACCTAAGAATGCTTTTATTTTATTTTGCAATAATACAAGAAAATAAGGAGATAAATATGAAGTATTTACAAAGAGTCATCAGGCTATTAATCAGATCAAGCTAAATTTTTCAATATTTGAACTTTAGGTTAATAATTATTTCACTTTATTTATTTTATTACAAATATTTCAATCAATATACTTCTGCCATTACAAAATAATTTACTAGTAAACGGTATAACTTTTTCTTTCTCTCTTACTTAAATATTAATTTTCCACCTTAATGTGCATACATACTTTTCACAAAGGTTCTCAAAATAGATATTAAGAAGCTCATTAAAAAACACTTAGCAATATTGTAAAATACATTTTTTTAAGTTATACTTTTGTAAAAACGAATACGTACTACATTATTGCTTAGTTAAGTTCAAGCACTAATAAAAATAATTAAATATGGAACTGTGTTAAGATAATGATACCTTAAATAAAATAATAATTTAAAGTTTCAACCGTTAAACACGGAAACATTTTTAATAATCAATTTTTTTTTTATTACTTTGATAAGTATCACTTAATCGTTGTAGGTCAGTTTCCCGATTTTATACGAGTATTATAATTTCCAAGTATTAAAATTTCCCATTTTGTTTCTTCATAACAAAACCGGTGATCAAACGGGATGCCAATTACACAAATCAATCGGTTCAATAAAATTACTTTTTTTTATTGTCTCAAAGCAAATTCCGACCAATCACAAAGCAGGTTCTGCTAGCGTGACATTTTTCCCAATTATTTTTTTATTTTTGATAATCAGGACAGCCACGATTTCTTTGTGATCACGTTTTTCTAGGAATTTCTAGTACTTGGAAGTTTTATAAAAGATTAAGGAAACTATTAGTATATGAAAAACGGCTGTTAATACAAATCACCGTATGTTATTTTTTACAACCGAAATATCATTGCCCGATTTACGATTACCCGTTATACCCTTACATTGAGGTTTTTAAATGTTAAATGTTTGGATTAGTTCTCATAAAGTGGTGCTGACGTCGAAAGTCGGTAGATGAACGGTTGGGGTATTTTACCGAAGATCGGTGCAATAGCAATTGCCATGATCAAAACATCGTTCCTCAGTTATTATAAAGTACTTAAATGACGTTTGTTTGAGAAAGCTTGTGTTGATTAACATTATAAAGTTTCTGGAACAATATTTTCAGTTTCGACGTTTAAAAAGGCTGCAAAACGGTGTTCAACGATGCCATGCAATATCGGGATCGGTAAATGATTTTGCTTTCTTCATCTTCAAATCTGAGAGTTGGTGTTGCTTGAGTTTAGTGCTTCGGAGTTCAGACATGTTTAGGAATTTGTTGGATTCGTATTCATCCTCTGGAGCAGGTGTGACTCGAATGCCAGCCAAATCATCACGCAAACAGAAGAATATACCATGTTTCAGTTGTTCTCTAACCTAAAATTTAAATGTGATATTTTGAATTGTTCTGATATTCTCAATCTTTAAAAATTCTTGCAATATAGTTAGTATTTAAGTACATAAAAAACATTTTTAGAAGTAATACTTTGATTACGACAATTAAATATTGAAATATTATTTTCATTGCAATCAAAATAGAGGAATTTCCATATCTATCTTTGTTTTTTGAGAGGGGGGGTAAAATTAAGAGCAGGCAGAATAAAATTAAAAAATAAAAAATTTTCTATCGTCTTAAAGTCAATGAAGTAAACTTCAGGTTAGTAAACTTTTTGGTTCTGCTCTAATTGAGACAGAATGTCTAATAATCATGTCTAAATATTCATTTTCTTTTTTTTTATTGTGTGACATACTGGATTTAATCCATGTTCGGCAAAATATGCATAAACGCATCATTTCAATAAATAATTATTTCATAAATATAGTGACTTATATTTTTCACTAATTAAATCTTTCTTCTATTTTCAAGGGTTCTGAAAACGTCTTTAAAATATTAGTAATTTAGTAAAAGCAAACACTTTATGTTGAGAATTTTTTAAAATGCGACAGTTTTTTTGTTTTCTTAACTCGAAACGAATATTGACAAATCCTTCTTTTAGGAAATGTATAATTATTTCATTTAAAATTAATCATACGTTTTTATGAAGGAAGTTGCAAGTTCTGTAAGTAAAATAACAATAAAACAAATGTCTTTAAAAAACTATTGTTCAACTAAAGTATTTGGCCTGTAGTGCATGTAAGCAACATCTTATTTTTTAAATAAAATAATATTTTTTATGCACGAATTTTTTTTGCGTCTAAATAAATATAAGGAAAAAGACACATTTTACAAAATTTCTTTGCTTGGTCTAAAATGGGTTCAAAGATCAATTAATTAATCTTTGAACCTATTCAGATTCAATTAATTGAAACAATTATCTCAGATTCTTCGATTCACTTTAGTCACAAACTCCTTCATTCTCTCGTTTGCTCATTCTCTCATTTATGCATTCATTTATTTTCGAATTCATTTATTCATTTATTTTCGAATTATTTATTCTTCTACATTAGCATGGATTCAGCATTGATATTTAAGACGTTTTACATAATCAATTAATGAAGCTTTCATTTCGTAAACCAAGATGAAATCTTGGTTTAGTTAAGTATAAATAAAAAACAACAAAATAAAACAAATTCTTAAAAGTAGAAGAATTGTTAAGAGAAACGAAATGTTATGAAAGAACATTTCATTTCGTATAAAGATTTTTTCATTATTAAAACCTAATAATCAGAAAAAAGATACCAGAGTTTTGAGCTCTTCTTGTTTTTGTAAGATGTGGATCAGGATGAATTATATAATTTAGAGAAACTATGTGATTAGAGGAACAATAAGCGATTTGCAGGAGCTACGCTTATCAGTGGCATATCTTTGTACACATTAGTTTTAAAAAGAAAAAAGAAACTTATTTTAAAAATTTGAAACACCATTTTCAAATCTAAGTTCAGTAAGAAATAAAAAGAAATTTTAAATTCGTAAAAAGGAAACTTATGATTTTATAAAGCATCAGTTTGATTCTAATAAAGTTATGTTTGAGTTTTACAAATGCTAATGATTCTCAGACAGTCGCCAATAGACCGTTAATTACCAATCAAATATAACCCGAATAATAAGCATTTTCAAAAAAACGTTGACTGCAGAGAAAATACTGAATTAATTTACATGCCTTTTTAGACTTTTTGAAAGTTTTGGGTCGTGATTTTCATCAGATCTAAAAAAAATTTACACCCAAAATTTTGAAAATTTATGTGCACCTTTCTTGTACAATACTTTCAAATATAGACTAAATTTTGTTTTGTTTCATAATTTTTTCTTTAATTTTAACTGTATTTTTTTTCGAAATTTCCATAAAATGCTAATAATATTGGCATTACTCATAGTTACTCGATTTTAAATCTTAGCTGTCACTTTATTTTTAAGACACTGTAATTACAAGCAAAATAGTAAAAAAAATTTCGATCGCTTGATTTTTAAAAGAAATGTTACAGCTTTAATGATGGTTTCATAAAGATGATATTTTTTAACCGTGTCATTTTACCATGCAGTCATTTTGATAGAAAGCTTTTTATTTTTTTATTTTTAGTTCCGAAACAAATAAAAAGTACCTAATCAAAATGACTGCTGAAATACGGTTTTAAAGCTACAACACACCAAACAAAAATGCAACGTTTCAATTAGTAGAATTTAAAAAAAGAGCTGTCGAATGTGTCTAGGTGCTTTAAACTAGAAAATAAACTCCTTTATAAAACTCTATATTGGTTTAATAAAAAGCGCATGCAGATTCTGAAAATGAAAACCAGCTGTAAATAAAAATAAGTATTTCTTGAATGTGTACCTGATCATCAAATCTTATACGAAGAAATGGTATTAGAATACCTAATGCTATACTGGAGGCTGCAAATACATAATTAAGGATATCATCTTTATTGCTGGCCCCCACCATGCCTGTTGCGTAAGCTACACAGAGGAAGGATAATATCACGAAACAGGTCCATCTTGTTTTTATAAATACCCTAAAAAAAGAAATGTCTCTATTATCTTACAACATATTGATTTTTCATTGTAAATTGTAACATATGTTTCCTGTGTAAAATAAATAAAATATCTGCAATTCAGTGTAATTTTAAAAAACAATGTGAAAATAACTCATAAACAGCTGTAATACAAAGCAAGCGAAATAAATAGCGTGTGTACCAAGAATGGCAAACAATTGGGCACTTGCACTTCAAGAAGGAGGAACCCACACACGTGACCTATGATGTCAGCGCCAGCTGATCGTTTATAAACAAAATGGTGTCTTAAAGTTTAGCTAAGCTTCTCCACATAAGTTAGAATGTTAATTAACATGAAGTTAACTAAATATAGTGCCGTATCGCACATTGAATTTGTTGAAATATAATTATTTCTCGTCTATGTATTTTGCGTAACTTAGATTTATTATTTGTTTATGTATTTTATTGTAACTCTGATATATTTTTGTTTTGTGTACCTGTCAACTTCGATGCATAATTAGTTTGTTTATGTTCTACATGGCTTCATGCCTGCCTTCGTGTTGAGTGAGAAATATATAGTGAAAGAATTGAAATCTTTGTAACAGAATCTTTGTGTAAGAATGTAGAATGTGTCACTTAAAGGAAATGATACTTGACGGGCATGGCTTACTCGAAATAGAATGGAAAGAACAGTTTCTAGCTTAAACAAGTGCCACGTTCCGCCAACCAATCTGGATCAAAATACCCACACTAAATCACTTGCAGGTATCCAATTTCGAAAATCAACTAAAGAAAAATAGTAATAGTTATATACGTGCTGTTTGTCACCTTCTACTTAGGAAACGAGATGTTTTTTCTCAGTAAGTTTCAAAATAAGTTACAAAGTTTGTCAACAAACGTGTGAAACAATGGCGCTTTTTATAGAGAAAAACTGTGAACCATGTTTCCAAAATAACTTCCGTTTGCAACAAAAATGTAGTACCATCTTAGGAGAAGATGTGTAGCAAACGTGAGACTCGAGGCTATGCTTTAATCTTGTTGTTACGAAATAAATATGATATATAAACCAAGGCTCCAAAAGCCAGGACTCTGTGATGAGCCGAAAAATGTAAAGTAGTATGCTTAAGAGTATAAAACGGACAAAATACCATACACTTTTTTATCTAATATCTGTAAACATAACAACTTACTAAAATCTAAGAATATTTGACAAGAAAAATACATTCTTAAACTCTGGCATCAAAAAATGAGTTGAGACAGGAAAAAGAATGAGAACAGAAAAAGCTATAAAAGCGAATTGCACAGTTCGAAATCTCCTTAAATGTCTTTGAGGATCTATATGACAAGTGCACCTCTCTAGAACACGATTACTTAGAGGATTTTACTGATGCCACCTTGATATAAAATACATTTTTAAGATTAACACTAATATTTATTTTTCTTTTACTAAAATAAATAACTGCTGTAGCAGTAAAGCGCATGAGGCAATATAGAATAGGTACAGTGTTCAAAAAATTAAACTGACACCCAGAATAGCTTTTGTTTTAATTATCGGATCTTTATGTTCCAGGACTCAATCTTAATGGTTCGAGATGGTGACCACAAATGTGCTAAGAAATAAGTGCAGACGATATTTTAAATTACGAAATCAAACACAAAAACGAGGTTTCTCTGAGTAAATATAATTTATTTTCGACGGATTCGAATTTCTGACTCTCAAAATGCTCGCAATTCTTGAAATAGGTTTCAAATAGTTTAGTCAGGAGAACTGTCCAAATTTTTGGACCCCTAAATGATAATTTTATTTTTTGCGTATTACTATATTTTGAGAACTTTTTAAGCGATATGAAAATTTTTGCAGACAGTTATAAAATTCGTTTATCCAAAGATGCAATTTAATGCAAAATATAACTATTAGTAAATATTTTTTATGAATTTATTTAGTTATATTCGAAAACATTTTGAATGGTAAGGTACACAATTTTGTACATCATTTTAAAAATTTTAATTTCAAATGGCAAAATAAAAAATTTGAATTAAATCAGTCGAGTAGTTTCTGAGAAATCAAAGTTTGAAAATACGACTTTTTCAAAAATACTATTGAAAAAGTACAATTCAAAACAGAAAGTCGGTATGAAATAAATGGGGGTTTTTTCTCCATAATTTGTAGTATTTTCTGACAAGTTTTCTAAACTGAATCGTATTAAGAACTTGCCAATACTATTTGTAAGTTTTCAAAAAATTTAAAAAAAACCAGTGCATTATGTGCACTACTTTTTTTAACCAACTTACTTTCCTCTCTGAAACTGAGTACTCGTAACTCCTTCTTTTGGTTCATCCGCATCAAATATAGAAAACAAAAGAAAGAATGCGATCACACTAAAAACTATGACAGGTACAACAGACGGAAGCATGGCTCTGCCCTCCAACTTCAACCAGCAACTGGAGAAGCAAATTAATATTTAGAAATAAGTTCATTCATTATTGTAACATGCTACCTAAATAAATTAAAACGAAATTATATACTGAAGAATATGATTTGAAAATCTGGAAAAATATTTTGAAAAAACATTAAAAAATCATAAGCGATGTAGCTGTTTTGAATGTTTAACTCAACGCTGGATTTTGTTTTCCTAAATAAAAACTATTAGACCTAGAATCTTGAAAGTACAAAGGTGTGTAAAAGACCGTAGTGGTTCAGGGAAACCTTCGCCTTCCAATTCGGTGAACCGGGTTCGAATCCCAGCAATGGCTGGTAGATACGAATTCCAAACCCGACTCGCACCGACCACAGTGCTGCCGTAAAATATCCTTAGTGGTAGATGGATCATGAGTTAGAATTTCCTCTCCGTCAGGCTAACCGGGGGGTTTCGTGGTTTTTCTCTTTATGTAACGCAAGTGCGGGTTATTTCCATCAAAAAGTTAGTTCTCCCAATACTTGATCCAGAAGTTCCCTTCTCTTACGTATTGCAAATTGTCTAATGATTTAAGTCTCGTTAACGAGTAAATTTACTTCTCGTTTATTCTTCTTATGGAGTCGTATTCTCTGTGCTTCTGAGTTAAAAAAGTACAATTGATTATTTTTCACTTCCAAGTAATCTTTTATTTCGTTGCGGGCAACAAAATGTTCAAGCAAAAACGATACTAACAAAACATTTTGACATGAAATTATAATAATTATATCTTTTACAAACAAAATGTTCCCTTTTTTCTGGAAAATGTCGAATTTTCAGGGGGGAAAAACATTGATTATATCGTTGATTGTCAAAAACACTGATTATCGAGAAGCAATCACAGGAGTTGATGAATGGAGTCAGAAAGAGGCAGAGCCTCATAGTCAATAGATATAGTAAATCTTTTTTACTGTTTTTACTTGCGAATTAAAGGAAGTTAAAGTAAATACACTCTATAACAAAAAAATCGACACACCAAGAAGGAGTTGTCCGATTGAAACGAAAATTGGTAGATAGGAAGATAATGTACAGAATAGTAAATGANGCAAATTAATATTTAGAAATAATTTCATTCATTATTGTAACTTATTAACATGCTACCTAAATGAATTAAAACAATATTATATACTGAAGAATATGATTTGAAAATCTGAAAAAGTATTTTGAAAAACCATCAGCGATTTAGCTGTTTTGGATGTTTAACTCAACGTTGGATTTTGTTTTGAAACTTAAAAACTATTAGACCTATAATCTTGAAAGTACAAAGGTGTGTAAAAGGCCGTAGTGGTTCAAGGGAACCGTTCGCCTTCCAATTAGGTGAACCAGGTTCGAATCCCAGCAATGGTTGGTCGATATGAATTACACACTCGGCTCGTACTGACCACAGTGCTGCCTGCCATAAAATATCCTTAGTGATAGATGAATCATCAGTTAGAGTCACCTCTCTGTCAGGCTAACCGTGGGAGGTTTTCACGGTTTTTCTCTCTATGTAACGCAAATGTGGGTTAGTTCCATCAAAAAGTTAGTTCTCCCAATACTTGATGCAGGAGTTCCCTTCATCAAAATCACACGACTTAACATTAGTAGTCGTAAACCCAAAAATTTTTTATAATTATTTAAATCTCGTTAACGGGTAAACTTACTTCTCATTTATTCTTCTTATGAAGTCGTATTATCTGTGTTTCAGAGTTTAAAAAATTTTTCAAGTACAATTGATTATTTTTCACTTCCAAATAATCTTTTATCTTGTTGCGGGCAATAAAATGTTCAAACGAAAAACTATACTAACAAAACATTTTGACATAAAATTATAATAATAATTATCTTTTACAAACAAAATGTTCCCTTTTTTTCTAGAAAATGTCGAAATTTCAAAAAAAAAAAAAAAAAAAAAAAAAAAAAAAAAAAAAAAAAAAAAAAAANAAAAAAAAAAAAAAACACTGATGAATGAGAAGCAATCACAGTTGATAAATGAAGTCAGCAAAGGGTAGAGCCTCATAGTCAATAGATATAGTAAATTTTGCTTTACCGTTTTAACTTGCGAATTCAATAAAGTTAAAGTAAATAAATTTAGAATATCTTTCTCCTGCCGTGTAGCTGTTTATCTAGTTCTGCATTAACATTTCTTATTAAAACTTTGCACATGCTGGTATACATAATAGTGCAAGTTGAAAAGAAATAGCTTTGGCTAAGTTTAAAACCTAAAATTTTTATCGCCAAATATCACAAACTTAATTTGAAAAATGTTATACTTCTTTGGTCTCGAAAGTTCTTTGAAAGAATGGAACAAAATATCAACTGCATTGCATAGTAGAGAATTTTTTGACTATTTTATAGCTCTGCGTAAATGTAGAGTATGATCTCTATAAAAGTTGTAAATATGTAACAAGTAGCAATGATTTCATGTTTTTCTGAAAGTTAATCTGCAATATTTTAGTAAGCATCAAAATTTTTTAATATATTGAGTAGGCCACTAAATTCCCACATTTTTTTTTAAAGTTAAAGTTTAAGAGCATTCCATATTCTCTGCCAATTGTGTTGCAACTCTGCTTTATTTTTTATGCAAATGTTGATTAAATCGCTTTTCATCGAACTCAATTGAACAGCTAGGCTTGTTTTTGTAGTCAAAAGTTTTTATTTTGAATCACCGTCATATTAATCACGAGCTGTTCTTTCAACCGATGACCCCATCTCCATACACAGCACAAATGTCAGGAGCAACTATTGTTGACTCAGAATTTTGACTTCAAGCACAAAGTACTTAGTATCAGAAATGCTCTTTTTCTCAATTTGGCATTTCAAAGCCCAGATAATTCGAGTCTAGTTAATAACCTGAAACTTAGCATAAAGTACCCCAAACAAAAACAAATATATTCCGATACAATGAAACATCGTCTTTTAAATGCTCTGTAACGTTATGCCAAAAACATTTAGCAACTTGCGAGATGTTAAAAATTTAAATAAATGGTGAGAACTTTTGCCAGTGTGTATAAAAATTGTTCAATTGTGTATCCAAATTACTTTTCATCCTGTACTTATAGTTCTCAAAAACCTATGAAGATTACGTTTACATTTTTTAAAGGCTATTCTGTGGTTTCACAGACCATACGGTTTTCATGCATAAACATATTTCTATTATTATTTTTATATCTTTAGACCATGATTTGACTCTTGTTTTTTTTCCGCTTCTTACCAAACGTTCGAATAAAATCGTCACGTAGCACCAAATGTAAGGCAGTATTTTAAATTTGCAAAGTGCATCACAAAACAACAATAATTGTGATACAATAATTGTAATTCAAAAGAAAAAGTTCGCTTGGTTTTCTAATTCATAGAACATTAAACTTATGATTTTGATCGTGTAAGCAGTTTTTTCCACGAAAATAATTAGGGTTCTAAAAACTCTGCAATTGACAAATATATATTTCCAACGAAATGACTAATGATTAAACTAAGAAGCATCGATTGCACAAATCCATATATTGATTTTCTTTTAAAGAAATCGTCGAAAGGAAATAATAAGTGCAATACCTTTTATTCAGCCATAATGACGCACTTACTAAAAGCTCTACTATTCAAACTATTAATGTTATCTAAGTCTTCTCTGACAGAAAATGGGAGCATATATATTTTACAGTGTTTATTTATTCATTTTTTACTGTAAAAAAAGTTTTAAAAAACTTCTTTTTTTCTGTTATTTTTAAATTTAATTCTTACATAATTATAATACTTTTTACAGAAATAATAGTCCCGATAGAATAAGAAAAGAATAATAGTCCGGATGCCCACATTGATATAGGCACTACGCTGTGATTGTGATGAACTACGGTTCTATCGTTGGTTGCAGCTTGAAGCCCTCCCAGATATAGTTCAATGGGTAACAGCTTAATTGAGAAACATGGGCAGCAGTACTATTAATATTTCTACCGTACATCCAGACGATTTATACAACATATCGTTGATCAGGATATAGTGGTGTCCTAACCTTCATGAATTTTCTGGTCTACAACTGGCTGTAGCGGTAATGTTGGAACTGAAGTTGTTTTTTTAAAAATTAAAATAAATGTATAACTATTATCTAATCATGTATCCAAACTTACTTATATTTATGATCAGAATAATCATCACTGGCTATGGCTGCTAACACTATATTCATCACAGCTGGTATGCCTGTAATATATAAAGTTTTATTATGGTAGTCTTTTCTAATATCAGCGTTATTTTTGTCACTTAATTTGCATAGAAACTAAATCAATGAAAAATAAATTTGATTTAAAAGTTTGAAAAAATTTCATGTGGTCTCAGAAATAGAGTCTTACATCAAACAGAAAAATTTAATAACTTTCATCCGAGTTTTAAAACTGATTTTGACTACAAGGTCAGAGGGTCATTCAAACAGAATGACCCCAAATTCAATAATCTTATAATTTAAGGATGTTGTTCGAAGGCTATGTCGTAATATGTAATGATGCTTTTTTGCGAACAATATGCTATTTCTATAACTGCTGTTGAGTTTGCAACTGTTACTCATGACCGTTAGATCAAGCTTAGCCTATCTAAAGCCAGCGCTGTCTTCGTTTATTTTGAAAATGGCGCAAAACGTCGATATGAAGAAAAGCCACAGGTTTGTTAAAATGAAAAACGTTTGCTGTCTAATTTTTTAATATTTAAAAACTTACTCCAATGCAGCATTACCTGGGCTCATAAAATTTGCAAAAATCGAGAATACGGCAGTGATTTTATCCAGATGAAAAATGTCACCAAATTGACGATTTTTAAAAGAATTTAGTAAGTTTTAAAATATTTAAGTTCTTCGTCTGTTCTAAAACCCAAATGATTTTTCAAGGCAAGATTACATACATAGCTTAACATTATCGCATTGCTTTAAGTGTAAGGCACTTAAACAATGGTTTTTTTCCTTTTCTTAACCACAGAGCTTCGAAAAACAGCGTTAAACCAACTATATTCTCGTATACGTTAACTCTTCCGCGCCAATTGTCAGTCTAATTCTTACAGATTTAAATTAACAACGTTAATGCATGTCAATTTATATCTGTATCATTTTGCATACTGTGCATATCTAAACATAGACTTAACAGTAATGAAATGTGTCCCAATGAAAGATACCGGTAATCTTCATTGAGTCTTTGGAAGTGACAGTAGCCACATTTCATTTTATAATCACAAATTTCAGAAAATACATTTTTTTAAATATATTGAGCAGTGTCCTTCTAAAAGTAACAAAAAAATATTTTTTGGGTAGTCTTCTTCTAGAAGTAATAAATTATAGCATTATCTAATTATACATTTAAATACCCGTGTTGCATTTTCATTAAACCAGATTCAACAATTGTATAGCTCAAAAAAATTTGAAAAATATTTGTCTGGATAAGATTTTTAAGGTTGGAGTACCAGCCCATTTATAGCAACTCAAGTTGGCTCATTGAAGTCAACTAGGTATCGGTATATAATCAGTTCATGACTTAGGTTATGACAAAGTATGTAACTATGTATGGCCAAATAACGCTTCTTAAACGGATTTAAATTTGATCAGTAACAACGAAACAGCTATTATCATGATTTTTTACACGTTGAATAACAAGAAGAAAAGTATAAGATTAGTACCTTATGGTACAGGAACTTTGAACGTGCGCTAACTCAATGTCAAGATGGCTACTTTAAAACTAATAAAGTGTACTTAACAGTCAAATTGTAGCACCCGCTGTCGCGAAGTCCTCCATGTCCCCATAGCAAATCAATACCTCTGGGGGCACAGATCCAGGAGTTTCCGTGTCTTCAAAATTGGTTCAAAAATTGCAAGGCTATGGAGTTGAACATTAGTAGTCGTTAACCCAAAATTAGATCGGCTGTTCAAAGACAGATATAAAAAAAATAATAATAATGGGATAGAGCATTTCCCTTCTAATGAAGTGAACGGAGCTCGAATCCCAACGATGGCTGGTCGATACGAATTACTCATCCGATCACAGTGCTGACACTAAATATCTTCAGTAGTAGACGGATCATGGGTTAGAGTGCCCTTACCGTCAGGCTGACCGTGGGAGGTTCTCGAGATCTTCCTCTCCTCGTAACGCAAATGTGGGTTAGTTCCATCAAAAAGTCCTCCACGAAGGCAAATTTCTCCCAATACTTTATCCAGGAGTTGCCTTGTCTTCTGGAGTGGGTTCAAAATTACAAGGCCACCGAGTTGAACACTAGTAGTCGCAAACCCAAATTTTGCTTGGCTGTTCAACGACGATTATAAAATAAAAGTGGGCCCCGGCTGCATGTAAACTCTCTTTACACACATAGTATCCCCAAGAGATTTTGAGAGCGCTGATTGGCTTTCTCGGCATTGCCTTCTGTTAAGTCTTTTTGTAGCTCCTCCTCAATAACATTTCTCTGTAGTTTGTTCCCAAAATGTAAATCAATCATAAATCAGTTCCAATATATTTCTCATACTAATTTTATGACAAATGTTATAGTTTTGTTCAAAAAATTAAACAGCATTATTAATTGTATTTCAATAATGTCACATTTATTTAAATCTAATTTGCTTTAAATTTTATGCTAATATTTTTTAATATTAATGTTATGAATTTTAGTTAAATGCAAAGTAAACAATCATGTTTTGGTAAAACATCAAATTAGTATAATAAAAATTAATAATAATATTAGTATAATTATAATAATAATAATAATTATCATAAATGAAAGTTTTATTAGCTAGCTTTTATGTAATATATATATAATAATTGATTAATATTCAAATTGAGTAGCATTGTGAATATCCTTATGCACTTAGAAATTAAAAACTCTTACTTAAATTTATTAAGTATGATTGCAGAACCACTCAGTTAAGTTTGAATTTATTATATGAGATTTTAAAATGTATATAAAAACTTTTAAAATTATGTTTGATTACTTAAAAAAGATTTTATCATATCTTAGAGGAAAATATTCTAAAATGTTTAAAAAATTTAATTATAATTCAGCAAAAAAATTGTAAAAGTTTTTGAAAAACTTCTTTTACATTTCTCCTGTGGCACTTTCATAAACGCACTGTGGTGACAAACAAATAATTTCCTGCAATTAAATAATAAAAAAATATTTACAATCCAATGGAAATGTACTAGAATTAAAAGAGAGAATTATTGTAAATTTATTCTCTAATTACTTATGGTATTAATTTAATGGACAATTCATAATCATTGACTTTTATTTTGATGGGAATTATGCAATCAAAAAATAATAAAAGAGGCATCTTAAAAGACAACTGCTTGATTTCTTAGATGCCAATTAATAGTTTTTCGGTATTATAAAACATTCAACAACAAAAAAAACATTAAAAATAAGTTATAAATAAGTAGGCATAATGCACATCTCTTAGTTTTAATTTATAATAATAGATGGCGCCACTAAAAAATCTTAAATTAAAAATTTTATAATTTAATTTTAGTAATCCACAAAAAATAAATAAAATATTAATTTAATTCGATGAACATTAATTTAATTAAATAAATATCAAGTGAAAACTATTCAATTCTCATTTTATAGTGAGTATAAGAATTAAGCAAGGCAATTAAATTCGATTTCAATGTTATTCAATAAATTAGAAGGATATTAGCTTCATAAGAATTCATGCATGTAATAATCATAAATTTAACGAAAAAAGCATTTCCCATAAAAATTAAATACAAATTTTTTTTAAAAATAACTAAACTAGTTATTTACCTACAAACAAACCTTTTTCCATGAGGTTTGGATGTTCTAGAATTCCATTTCGTATTGGTAAGTTCCCCAAATGCCCTTACCCACCTATTGCAATCGTCTAAATTTAGAACATTACTTCTAAGGGTAATGGTATTTGAGGAACTATTTTTTACTTCATTTTTCAATGAAGAAGGCAGTTTCTCTGTTGAAAAAACTGACATTTGAAGTTTGTACACAAAAGCTGGAGTATAGAAATCACTCTATGCTGAAAATAACAAGCATGGCAGAATGAAATAGCCATACGTCACAGATGGCGTTGCCGAGAAAGCCAATCAGCGCGCTCAAAATCTCTTGGGGATACTATGTGTGTAAAGAGAGTTTACATGCGCCCCGGCTCAGGGGATAGAGTGTTCGCCTTCCACTGAAGTGAACCGGGTTCGAATCCTAGCGATGGCTAGTCGAGACGAATTCCTCACCCGGCTAACTAAAGGAGATTCTAACTTCAAAACAATTACATGGCAAGTTCAAATATGAAATATTATTTACCTGAACTAGTTTAAGATTATAATTTCAGACAATCTCAACGTGGAGTTTTTACCAAAAGTAGCTAAAAGTCTAAAAGCATTACATCTAAGCTCAGAGAAGGATTTTTATTTACAACAATTACCAAAAAGTATTAAATTTAAATAAATTGCATATTAAGCTCAAAGATTGAATTTTACTAAATGAAACTAGTTGAAGAATTTTACATTCAACATAAAAAGCTAAATTAAATTTTATCACCGACCGTTAGACTAAATTTAATTTTCTGTAATTAGCTAAAGATCTTAAATTCGTACAAATTACGTAATAAGTTCAAAGATAAAGTTTTATTTACCAAAACCAACAATCATAAGACTTATTGGTGATCCTGTCGTGCAACCAGTTGGTAGGTAATCTTTTAAGACGCTGCACATGAGCATTGCCTCCAGAAGCATGAACAGAAACACGGCTTGGAAGAAAAATTGAATCAGCGCTGACACTGCTACGCATAAAGTAGGATCTGCTCGTAAACATTCCTTTAAAAAATATACATCATAAAACACTATAATTCACCACAACAACATATTATCAGCACACCATTTGTCCTCACTATGCACTACAAGCACTTTAAAAAAAGCTTCAAATAGCATACTATTAAAAAAAATTATATAGGGGAGAGTCGGGTAGCCCCGCCCAGCGGGTACCCAGTCAATTTCATATGTATAGAAAAAATTTTCAAATCAATGGGCCATCGGACATTAATTGTTATATTAAAAAAAAGATTATTTTCAAAGTTTCAAGTATTTATGCAGATGTTAACATGGTAAACAATAGTTTTGAAAATATGTTGAATACAGTAGTCATGAAATTAAGAAAAATTGGTTGAATGTTTCGATTAAACTTCCTTTTAATACTAAAAAAATAACTTTTTCCATACATACAGCATTAAAGTATGTAGTCTTAAGTTTAATTTGCAAGAAGAAAGAAGTTTATATGTGAAAAATTGTTCCAGTAATTACAAATTTACAAAAAAATTGGATTTCGGGTAGCCCCTCTCACGTGAATGTCGAGTATCACCGCCCAATTTTATTTCGATAAATGTACGATTGCAAAGATTATTATTTTATTGTTTCAAATTTGAATGTTATGTGCATTTTTAACCACAAATATTGTTTTTATTAAATGATTGTTATTAAATAATAGAATTCACTAAAAGTATATAAATATGTAAAAAATAAAATAATTTTGTGATAAAAATGATAAATGAGGTTTATCTATGGTCAATAAATTGGTCACTTTCATTTACACCTGAAAAAACAGTCAAAAAACATAATTTTTGTAACTGGGCGGGGCTACCCGACACATTTTGAAAAGAGCTGAAAAACATGTTTTTTTAAATTTCTATTTTTTTAAGTTAAACTATTCTTTTTTTGGTTTATTCTTTTTGCATTATTTATTTAGATGGTGAAACAATAGAAACAGACAAAAATATTGATTATTACTCAATATTATACAGAAATATAAGCAATACTCGTTAAGTGGGCGGGGCTATCCGACTCTCCCCTACATATTTAAGGCAAATTGTATGAATACGTAAAACTTAACTAATTCACCGATTTTGTAGAAAATACAAAATTTATTTCTTTGTATCGATGTTACATTTAGTTAATAACGAATGTAAATCAAATTTTATCAAAATTATATTTAATATAAAATCAATTAAATGTACGAAAAAATACTACTTAATTATATCTACGTTTTAATCTATCTATCGTTTTAATCTAATATAATCTACGTTTGGTTAACTTCTTTCTTATTTCATCTGGATATTGGTTCTCACCCTCCCCTCCCCCTACTGTCCTGATAGATATACATTCTTCCTCGGAAAAAAACCCTACACCTAACGCACTTTTTTTCCGTTAAGACATGTAAAAGTATAGTTCTTTATTGAAGATATGAGGGTAAATTGAGCTTTTCTTAATAAAGAATTTACTTTTTTAATGCTTCAATAAATCTTCAATAAAAAAACTTCCATAAAAGCTTGAAAAAAATACATTCGAAGAGTAATTTTATATGCTGACAAATAACATAAACTGAGACTTGCTGATATAAAATTATTTACATTAAAGGATGTGATAGCTTAAGCGTCTTGTCATCTTGTGACGTCATATATTTGCCTCTCTGAAAGAGGGTAATATAGATTGCGGGAAGAGCAAACCTTATTGTTTACTAACCTTGGCTTTCTCCCGCAATCAAATCTGTCTTGTTTATTACATTTGCCCTCCTGTACTGTTATTTGCCAGATTTTAACAATACATATTTTTGCTTTTTCCTAGCTTAAATTTTATTTTTCGTCCTCAAATGTGTTTATGTTTTTGTTTTTACTTTTGATTCTAAAAATATATAGTAAGGGTGGTCTTTACGATATACTCACATCATCTATACTGTAGGACTGTGATGAAGATACGAGAATGCATAGATAAGCTCCTAAAAGTGAAATATCTGAGAACAGTTGAGCGAGGCAATCCAGAAACAGCATTCTAAAAGAAAGATAATTAAGTTTTAAAATAAAGTTAAATCAACTCAGGCGATAAAAAGAGATATTATAAGTAAATTCAGCAAAATACACTCCAATTAAACGCACAAAACAAATTCATCAAATTTTTTGCTGAAGCCATGGAGTTTAAATTAAGGTCTCGTAGAGCATTTTCGACTTTAATTACTACCGTTTTCAAAATAACAACATGAAAGGTTTAGACATACATTATATTTATACAATGATTATTTTCATCTCTTCGTATTTCATCATTTTATTATATTTATACTATAATCTTTTCTATAGCATTTTTCAAGTGATTTTAATCTAACTACATTGTTTAGGATATGATTGTTTCCATTACATCGTATTCGTTCACTTTATTATCGTATTAGCTCATACTAAAAACATCACAGTATTATCGTTTACATCAGCTTATTAAATTTATGATTTAATCATTTTCATAGTAAGTAGCTTTTATCATATATTTTTAGTAAATATATTATATTTATAATAACAATTGCTTCCATAATTTTTTTTTATATTTTTTTTATGAAAGGTACAAATATACAACGTTTTCGTCACCGTAGTTTCATCACCATAATTATAAAAACATTAAGCATTTTATACTTTCTTTTTCCACGCACTTAACCTCAATTTTAACTCCCTTTTAAATTCCAAACTTGAATTCCTCAGCTCACACGCTGCTATTCGTGGATTGTGGAATTATTGAATTATGGATTTCCTTACAGAAAATAGTTAATATCGTTTTTCTTTTCCGTTTGAATCGAAATCGCTATATCATGTCCCGCTATTTGTTTTTAAGATAAATTCAGATTTGTTAACAAAATTAAAGTTCTTAAAATACTTCTTGGAATTGTATTCTGCCTCTTTCGGTCACCGTCATTCTACTCGGCTACAGTAGTTTTCCTTGTTTTTTCACATTAATTTTTGTCCTATTTTTCGCTTACAACTTAGTATTTTTTAATGTGTTTTTTAGTTTGTTTGAGCATCTACTAACCACGAAAAGTAAAACAAAGACTTTAAAAATTTTGTTTTGATACATTTTGTCTCAGACACCCGGTGGCTGAGCAGTAGCGCTTTGCGTTCTCGTGCCACGGGTCCTAGGTTCGATCCTCGATCCGGGCAAGGTTGACTCAGCCTTTCATCCCTTCAGTGGACCCATAAAATAAATTAGTACCCAGCATGCTTGGGGACAAAACACTGGGTGTTTCGCGTTCAGTTGATCACCCAACCGGGACATCTGCTCCAGCACCCCAGAGCCCAAGGTCGAAAGAACTGAGACGGGCACAGCAGGCCTTGGCCCTCTATGGACTGTCGAGCCACTGAGTTTAGTTTATATTTTGTCTCAAAGCCATTTCAATTTCGCAAAGATTTTGATTATGACTCATGAAGATTGAGCCAGGAAAGGTAAAGAAGTTTAAAGAAACATGTGTTATAGAAATGCATATAAGTAATCTCACCTTGTGGATATGAACACAAATACTGTAAATCCCATGCCTAATATGACAATAACACAACAAGTAATCTTCAGAATTGTTACGACACATGTAGACTTTTGCTGAAACATAATTTACAATAAGATTTTTATTTACAATTCAATAAGACTTTGAATGAGAACTTTTGTAAGCAATCTTAAAATTTTAACGTTAGGAAATAGTTCATGCTATTTTTTTTAATTTTATAAATATTAATTGAAAAGTATGACAATAAAGATATACATTCTGATTATGTAAGATTTTATATCTTTCATTCATGTTTTTTTTATTATTGCTATAAATAATCGTCACATCAGGAAATTTTAAAAACTATACTTTGATTTTCTGTCAATATATTTTCTACATTTATGAATGTTCTGAATTAAATAGTAGTTCAGATTTAAAAAAGAGAAATTTTCGAGTGAAAGAAAAGCAACCAGAATTATACCTTCCTCACAGAATCTTATCTTTGATCTTTATTTTATAAGATTTCATTTATATGCGATTATTTTATTACCGTATCCACTAGGAAGGAACAATTTTACTCCTTTTTTATCAGTCAACTAATTCTATTTTATGTAAATTCAATAACCTTTCAATAAAGAATATGCTAGCCTTTTGAATAAAAAAAAAGTTATAAGTTTATCATAAACACTTACCGTAAAGCCTGCTACTGAAACATCTGAAAGAAATTTTATTAAATTAAAAATAAGTAGGCATGTAATAAAAATTTACAATATCATTTAAAAATTGTAGGAAAAGTAAAACAGGAGCATTACAGGGTTTAGGTTTACGGGTTAAGAAACTGATTAATTTCTTATGCACTTCGAATGAATATTTCTTGAAAACATTTTCATGAAGAATATAAAACAAAAAACAAAAAGGCAGATATAAATCGAGGACCCACAAAAGAAATGACAGAAATGAGAGAAAAATTATAATTTTTTGAATGATTATTAACTTATTTTTTAATGCTAAGTAACTTTCTGAAAGAGGAATAATGTGCAAGTAAGCTTTGATGATTATCAAGCAAGTAATATTGAAAATATGAATGATTTTAATAAATTTAATTCAAACATGCACATTATATGTAAGAAAATTGATACAAGAATCGTAAATCGTAAAGTACCATCGTAAAGATTTATGTAAATTATGTAGTATGATGTATCTCAAAAATTTATGTAAAAAAACGGCATGTATTGTTACGATACCTTTAATTATAAAGTAACATAACTTATATCTTAATTCAACTTTTTTAATTTAATATTTATTTTTATTCTACTGTTTATTCAATTGCCTTTTTCTTTTCTTAAAGTAGAGATTTAAGATAAATATATTTCCGTTCGTACTCTGTTTTTGAAATACCTGATTAGGGTGACGGAACTTATGTATCCTGTCAAATTGTGAGAAAAATACCAAAGAAGGCCTTAAGGAAAACTTTTGGCTAGCCGTGTTTATGTGGGCGGATTATTGAGATTTCCTTTTTTAATTTAGGATTGGTTTAAGATATTTTTGCTTTGAGTGGATTTGTAGACATAACCCAAGATGATTGGGTTTTAACTTTTAAGGAAGTGCCTTTTTGTAGAACAATTAAAAAAAGATTCCTGGAGTGTGCAAAAATAATTTAGTGGAATTGGAAAAAAAACGAGTCTAGTTGGTGAAATAGGAAAAAAATGAAGTAAAAATTGTTAAAGTGATGTTGGAAAAAAATATGTTTAGAGAAAAATGTAGTTTTAGCATAAAAAGGGATGATCTCCACAGAAATTGAGACCTTTTCATATTCTTCATTTCTTTTCTCGATTAGTATTAAATATTTTAAAGTTATAGTTCATTTGGTGGAAAGGTACTTTGAATTTCATACGCATTCACTTTTCTTTTTAATTTTAAAATTTAAAATAATGATATATTAGTCTCTGAATATATAATGGCTTAAACTCGCGCGTAGTCTTTCATTCTGCCACTAATCACGCCGACTATGCAACGTTATAGAGATAATATAAGTCGATTTTACAAACTTTGTACTATGTATTTGAATTGAATTCTAAAAATTTGATGAAAATAAAGTATAACTGAACGCAAACAAATATTTTTATATCCATAATTATTGTATTTTTTATTTTATAAAAATTGTTTTTCAAAATTTATTTTGACGTAATTACTACTTTTTTAAAAAATTTGTCTTAAATTTAAATAATTTTCTTGGGATTCAAATAATAACAAATAAGAATAATTTTCTATAAAAACTAGTTGTTGTTGTTGTTGTTAATTTACGTCGCACTAGAGCTGCACAGTGGGCTATTGGCGACGGTTTGGGAAACATCCCGGAGGATGATCCGAAGACATGCCATCACAATTTTGATCCTCTGGGGTGGGGATGGCACCCCCGTTTCGGTAGCCCGACGACCTGCTCGCGAAGTAGAGCATTTTACGGTAGCACAGTTTAGCGAGGACCAATACCGCACACCCTCGGTCCCTACGCAGACTGATCCAAGTGGTCAGTAAGCAGTCACCAAAAGTTCAGGTATCTAAAACAAACTTCTGAAGAACGCCAGGGCTCACGTGGGCCTGTTTAGCCAATAAAGAAAATGTATATTTGGAATTCACATTAATAAAAACATCCTTTATTTGGAAAAAAGTTTTACTATTTTTAAAATTTTTAGATCAAATGTTACTTAAATAAAATGGATCAAAATCGAACTAATATTTATTCATTTGCCTGGAACAAATTCTCAAAAAGTCAGACAATTCAATATCTTTGAATTACTAAATATTTATTGTTAATGCCATAGAACATTTGATATTTTCAACATTTTGAAATAAAAATGTCTCAATTTTTTCTCAACTTATAGCATCTTATTTCTGTATAACACGCATAATATAGAGATAAAAAAAATATACAGAATGGCTTTCAGATAAACTGCCCCCTATAGTCTGCAATTTCTGCCTTACCGTCTTTTGTTTTGACTACAATATCCTCAGCTGTGCCTTCCACTCCTGTTCGATCAGAATAAGGTGCTACTTTTATTTTGTACTCTGTACCGGGCACCAAGTTTGATATCGTTACGTCAGTGTCTTTTTCCACAATTTCATCAACCGATCTCTTGCGTCGATTACTTTCAGAATCAGTTCGCCAAGTCACTAGGAAAGACGGTTTTTGCCAATTACTCTCAGATTCCATGGTCCAACTCAGGGTTGTAGAAGTTGCTGTGATTTCGTCTACATTTATTTTGCCAATATTGCCTAAATCAACTAGTAAAAAAATAACACTTTTTTCTAAAATATCATGTACAAATAGTACCTATCAAAACAAATTTATGGATATTATATGAAAAATCTTGAATGCTAAAGTCTAAAAATGATAGCTTCAACTAATGCATATGAAATTTACAAGTAATAAACAATACTAGATTACATTCCACTCATTATTTTACTTAAAAATTCTTTTAGTTAGTTCAGTTAAAAAATTTTAAGAAGTCGCCTTAAGAGAACAACATTTTATAAACGTCGTGGAACAATCAAGTTTACAACTTCTCATTTTACGACTACCTATGTTCAACTAAGTATCATTGTCATTTTGAACCCACTCCAGAAGTACTAAGAGAAATTTGACCATTGTGGATGGAACTATTTGCTTTACATGAAGAGAACGTGAAAATAAGCGTGAAAGTTACGGGATAGTAAGCGTAGAAAGTTGAAAGCATTTTTTCCTTCATTAATACAAATATAATTAAAAAGGAATTTCAAAATAAATATTGCAAAATCATATGACATATTTAAAATTGCTGCTATTATAAATAAATAAAAAATTATTAACTTCGTATCCTTGTAATCTTGAACCCAATCAAGAAGACAACTGAACTTCTAGATCAAGTATTGGAAGAAATTTGCTTCCGTGAAGGACTTTTTATGGAACTTATCCAAATTTACGTTACATAGAGAGGAAAATCACGAAAACCTCACACGGTTAGCCTGATGGCAAGTGGGCTCTTACCCATGATCCATCTATCACTAAGGATATTTTACGTCAGCACTATGGTCAGCGTGAGCCAGGTGCGGAATTCATATCTAACAGCCATCGCCTGGATTTGAACTCGGGTCAACTCATTGTGAGGGGAGGGATCTATCCCCTGATCCACCAGGGCTGAAGTGAGTAATATTGTTCAAAATTATAAGACAAGCATAGTACTTTGAAGATGAGGTCGTTGCTCTGCGAGCAGTGCCCAACCTACCAGGGTTTTTCCTAGAGTTGCTTCTGCCTCCCTTGCCCATTTTTCCGACGTGTTGCCATGGATCGCCACCAAGCCTACCGTTTTGAATCCTCTTTTTCTTTTGCTGAGAGGTCACGTGCGCGCACTTAGAGTCTACAGTATTCTCCGGATGCCCCCTGACGGGGGCAGGACGGGGTAAAGCTTTGATAGTTCTTTGAAGAGGTATCTGAGTGTAGATACGCAACTCGGATTGTAAATGAGTTTTAGTGACTGAGGGCAGAAACGCAGATATCTACTTTTAGATATCTAAATATTTTTAGGTATAGATATTTTTAGATATCTAAATATTTATATATCTACGCAATTTTTAGAGATCTAAATATTTAAATTAGTCATTTTTAAATAATCATCAGATGCTCCGACCTAATCTAGGTTGTACGGAGAAGGAAACAAATCCAAAATACTATGCAATACAAATCGTCAGGATGTTAAAGATAGCATATAAATGCAAATGTAAAGATTTCAAGTTAAAATAAAATTTAAAAATCACTGAAGGACAATCATAAATCAAATTTTAATAAATCGCTTGTTGACTCATAATACTCTTCTTTTTTTTATTGAATAGTGAAAACTTGAAACGTAATCATTAAAATTAACACTGTCCCAAGAGAAAATAACTCCACCAAGAATCAGAGCTAAATGTTTAAAATAAAGAGGAAAAAATAATTAAATCTTTACCTTCAGCCTCAGTTTTGCATGCAAATGGTTTCGGTTCATTGCAACAGGCACACTTCAAGTCAGCTATGGGTTCATTTTCCGATGAATCGTACGAGCAACACGACATTTCAAATTCCTCACATGGTGTCTCATTTCCGTCCGCTGAAAAATTATTCGATCAAATCATGTTTTTGTGCAGCACTTACTTTTATTTAGCAAATATACGCAAAATCGTAACGAAATGTTTAAAATGTACATTGAATTTGATGAACAAAGGATATCAACAACAAAAAGTTATGCTCCATAAACTCCATTGTTTCAAAAAATATGGCTTGATTTCGGAAAGTATTAAATAAACAAACTGATTTTTTTCTCCGTAACTAAATTTTTGATTTATTGACATGATTTCAGTAAAATAAATTTTTTATATGCTTATGAATAATTTAGTATGATTAATATACATTTATAAGCATAGTTGATTGTGAAACTAAAAGACTTGGAATAAGATAATAACAAGTCAAGTTTGCAAATTGCTCATGAAACTTTTTGGTGTAAAAAATCATGAATTCTATGCAACCAAAAAGATGTTTTTGTGTATCGGACTGTTATCTTATGAAAATTCTGAACACTTGTAATGTACCTACCTAGAAACAATACTGTTTAATGAGAAAATTCAATCTTTAGAAAAATGTTGATTGTCATTACATAGCCACAAGCTCTTCATATATAAAAACACTTATTTAAAAATAATTTAATGACGCATTATATATTTCTTACTTAATGCCGCTGAAGGGCCAGAACTTGGAGCGCCCATCCAGAAACTTTTTTGCTCCAAATTTGAGAGAATCTCCTTGGACTGTGGGCTGAGTTTCTTTTGTGCTTCGTAATCTAAAAGTTCTCCTTCGTCCTTCTCACATATTTCAGTAGCTTCTTTCCACATTTTAGCTTCATTTTTTGGCCATATGCACAGGAATTCATCCTGGATTTGATTCTCCTTGCATGATGGAACTTTAAAAAAGATTATTGAATTTATATAAAAAAGAATTAGCTGAATGATCAATTTATATTTCTAGAAATTATACGAGATACTTTACATTAATGCATCGCATTTACTTAGTAAAACAAATTATTGAATTCGAAATATAACTTGTGATACCTACTGCCTGTTTTACACCCGGATTCGTGTGTAACAAGAACTAAGATAATTCATTCGTTCAAGATCGATCGATTCATTCGATCAAGATAATTCAATCGTTCAAGATCGATCGATTCGTTCGATCAAGATAATTCATTCGTTCAAGATCGATCGATTCGTTCGAACAAGATAATTCATTCGTTCAAGATCGATCGATTCGTTCGATCAAGATAATTCATTCGTTAAGTCAGGGTAATCGTTAAATCTGTGATGACTGATGGGTTACCTTTCTTTCTTTATTTCATTCATTCATTCATTATTTCATTCATTCATGCACTAGTTCATTAATGAATTCAGATTAGTAGAGTCCCATATTTGAAGATGATGGTGCTTAAGAGAAGTAATTTTTGGAAAATCATAACTTTTTTTCAGCTTGGAAACTTAATGCTTTTAAGTTTTCTGAATATTCCTTAGTCTATATATGAATATTCTAGTAGGTAAAAGCAAATCATTCACTCCTTATAACATTTTTAAATTCCCCCGATTTGCAGTCACGTGTTATACATTATCTCTAAAACTTTGATGATCATCTGATTAAGAAAGCAATGCGATCATCACAAAGCTATTTTACTAATGCCTCGTCCACAATTTGACTTTCTCGCTCTTTTTCAAACATTTGTAAGCATGCAAATTCTTGCTTTGATAATAAAGAAAGACTTTACGTAGTTTTATGAAATGACTGTAGCTATATAGACGAGATAATGAAACGACTATACACTACGGTTCCAATTTTTATCCAATGCGGCTTCAATAGCAAATCAGACAATTGCAAATCGACAACGTAAGCAGAATCGATGCAATGTCCGTAGGTTAATTTACAATCTAGTTAATTTTAATGACTCGATCTCATTTTTAGAGATTTTGCTCTCGGATGTATTTAGTCTCAATTATAATTCAAGATTTTTCTTCTTTTAAATTTCGTTGCCAAAACTTTAAAAAATGTCCATAATCTAGTTATTTTTTAGAAGAGTCCAGACAAGAAAAATGTTTGTTAACAGTCACTGTCTTAAGAAATCTCTGTCCGCTGACTCAGAATTATTTAAGATTTTTTAAAAAATAATATCAGACAAAAAATATCGTTGAAGTCAGGTTTTGAAATTTAATTAGTCATAAACTTTGTAGTTTCTAATTAACATACTCGCTTTAAAAGACATGCTGTATTTATAGGATGGTTGGCTTGTTGAATCGATGGGTGTCATTTCTACAACATATTCAGCACCAAAGTCGAGTCCAGTCACATCTGTTTTCCCAGCTTGACCTCTAATGACAGCTACTGCTTTCTTCTCTGAGTTCTTGGGATCTATTTCCAGAACTGCTACGTTCACTTCTTCGGATTCCCTCTCTTTCGCCACCAGTAATGGACTCGAAATCTCTACCACTCCATTCTGGTTTACTGTAGCAGACAAAGGAGCTCTCGGATCTAAAATAGGATAAAATATCTTTGTTTTTGTTATTTTTTAACTCTTTCAATCCTAAGTAATGTAATCGAGGAAAATTAGCTATTCAAATCAATTTGTATTTAGTTTAGGAATGACATTTTTATATTATTTTTTCTTGCTGATTGGTTAGTTTATTGAGTTTATAGTTGTTGTTTAAATAATACTTACATGCTTTTTAGTTTCTCAGCTGTAATAGAAATTCGGTATAAAAGAAACATATCAAATTTGTTACTTGCAGAAGAAACTCTTGAATTTTTGCGAAGTGGTTCAACAATTCTTGTCAATAAATGGAAAATAAATCTTCATTCTCTTTGATTTTTAATTTTAATAAAAAAAAGCATGCATGACAAGATTCAAATTTGTATTTAATTTTTTTTAATTATTCCTTATTATTAATTACAATTATTAAAAACTTTGTTACAAATGATATATTCCACATATGCGTTACTAATGTTAATCTATATTTTTCAACCTATTAATATATAAGTTCTATCAAAGATAATAATATAAATATCCAGCATAATATCAAAATATTTATA